GCTGCACCTGCAGCTTTCGGACAGAAGTGGCTTTATTTGAAGCAAAACCAACAAGAGGTGCCTTTTCTTTAATTTAACAGTTTATTTATAAGGGAAGTCTAGGGGGACACCCTGTAATTGTGGGGTTCTGCACTGCTGGACACCCCACTCTGGCTCTCTGGCCTCTGCTTGAGGGATGTGGGCCACAGAGGTGATGTGGAGCCCCAAATATAACATTCTGACGTAGCGGAACCCCCCCGAGACCCCCTCTTCTCCACACGAGCACAAAAACCAGAGACATGACGCCCTGTGTGCACACAACAGGCTTGCCTTAAACTGGGGAAGACAGACTGGTGGCCAGTATGGAATATCACACTTCTCTGCTCCATGGGCTTCTACAGCCTGTCATGTGCCAGTAAGAAAGAAGATCTCGTCCCTGCTTGTGCTTGCTTGGGAGACGGAGACTTTTCTGGTTACTTTCATGAGGTAGAGCGACCGTAATGGACTGGGGGATTACTGGAGGATGGGCTCTGGAATGATGTCGGAGGAACAAGGGTTTCATGGCTCAAGAAGAACAAACTCACAAGTGAGGTGAAAGAGCTCCCCGTGACTGACCACCCCAGCGTCCACCTGTCCTGGGCAGCTCCAGGGAAACTCCGTGGGTCACCTGCTGGCACGTGGAAGACCCACAGGTGCCAGGACATGCGGTCCGAAGGCTGAGTCACAGACCCCAGCCTCACGGTCGACTCTGGTCAGACAACTGGACACACCGGAGGATCACCCCAGCCTTTCACCGGACGTCCGAAACGTTTCCACACGACTCCAGCCCTGACTTACACGAGTCAGGATACTGGATGTCCCACACCGAGGAGGCAAGGAGAATTATTCAGGGCTTTAGGCTCGGGACAGTACGGCCACAGACCTGTGCCAACGGTGCGAATTTAGCCAAGCGAGTGCCGACCACTGGCTGGGACATATCTGCAATATCTCCAGCCTGGCCGGTGGGGCTTCCAAAAATCTCAAAGCCACACGAAGTAAGACCTCGGCTCCACTCTCGTACAGCAGGTGTGTCCTTTCCCTTTCTGGGTTTAGTCGGTTATGGCCAGCTTAAAGCTTAAACATTGCCAGAGGCCGCCCCCCAGCTCCTCAGATAAAACATTAAACTGGGGTCCTGCTTCTGAACGCCACTGTCGGAAGTTTAACGAGGGTGACTGTTAACTGGCTTCAAACCTGAGGAATCTCTGAGAGGCGGGTATGAACACACACCCTCTCTAGCCTGACGATCTCGGCAAAATAGGTCAAAGATTATCACCGCTTTAGGAGAAAACATCACACACAGGCAGACAAAAGCTAGGGGCAAAGAACTAGCATTACTTTGAAAAGATCCATTATATTTAAATTCATCGGAATTTTGCCATTTTCTGGGAGCTGTGCTCTCAAGCATGTAAAGTCCTCTGGGGGGTCATCAAAGACTCTGGGTACCCCCAGAAACAAAATGAAACACTTCACCCAAGTCTAGAGCCCCAAAGTGTGTATTGTCATTATATTGTCACTCTCTGACACTGTCCACCTACTCGAACAGTGCCCAACTACAGATCTCTGAAGCAATTAAAATCTGTAGTATTATTTTAAAAAAGCAATACTATGAAGACTGCGTATTTCAGGAGTTATCTTTAAATTACGGTTTTGGTTGAAAATGATGTAATGAAAATCATGGCATAAAAAAGTTTTGAGAAACTACTTTGGAGCAAGTCTGCGAGTGCAGCAGGAGCATGCTCAAGTCATGTCGACAAAACGTCAGGGTCCCCTAAAAACTCTGCCACCGCAGGCCGGCTGACAGCGCTCTCACCTCGACTTTCGGGGGACCCAGACAGCTGGCGTGCAGCTAGCGATTAGCTGCTCGACACTGTGGCAGGCTTCACCGGTTTGCCTCAGACACAGCCAGCGAGGCCTCAGGACAGCCTGGGAACGCGTACAGTCTGCCAGGGGCTGACACACGTACTGTACGCGGCGCGTCCCTCTCCACCCGCCTGCAGTCGGTCTGCGCACCCCGAGAACACTCCGTGCAAACCCCAAAAAGCAAACGACAGCTGACCGTGAAACCGGCGCTGGGATTCGACCAGAGGAAGAGTAGGGGGAATAAAACAACGAAAAAGCCCAAGCCCGAACACTTTTGCAAAACACTTGGTAGATGTCGTGGCCTACCGATGTCCTACCCCCTCCTCACCACCGCCGCCGCCGCGTCTATACTGGGGGTATTTCCCCACCATGCCCATCACGAACACCGCGTAGCGCCAGACAATGGACGCCGGGCAGGTCCGGGGGACAGCGGGGCAGCGGGAGCCCGGGAGCCGGGAGCGCTGCGCCCCAGCAGGCGGCTCGGCTCCGGCGGAGGCTGTGTTCGGCGCCTCTTTCACCCCAGTGCATTAGATCATTTAAAGAAAAAAAACGTGTGCTCAAGAAATAAAAGCACGGCAAACTAGCAAGAGTAATGCTGAGCGAGCTACCCTCTTCCCGCAGAAAATAACAGTGCGGTTCTGCAGACGGACACGGATGCCGTGGCCTAGCTGGCGGCTGCAGCCGTCACTGGGCACCGCCAGCGCTCCCACAGCCGCCTCCCCAGCACGACCAGACCCGCTCGGGCCGGAACACTCGCTCTGCTGCAGACGGCAGGACCAGCGCTGCACGGGAACGGAAAGCCGCCCTCGGCTTTGCCAAGGCGCACAAATTAGTGGGAAAACCGGCGCAGATAAAGGGTTAAAAAGGGAAACAAGCCAGGCCGTTTTGTTTTAAGTGTGGAAGTTAAATGCAGAAGAGTTTGCAGAATAAGGAATACGCGCCATCAGCGTTCGACACCCTGCAGGGGCGCGTTTCTCCACATAAAGAGGTGTTACCCCACTAAATATTAATAAATACACCCGCAGGTCAGAGCAGCGACTTCCACTTGTTTCAGACCCCGGTCTCGATCTCCGCAGCTCCGGCTCCGCCGGCAGTGCTCTGGGAGATTAACCGACAAGACGAGGACCGATCCCAGGGCTGCTTTTTAACATTTAAAAGAGAAGGGGGGTGGGAGGGGTACTGAAAAGGGATTCCTGTCTTTTTCCCAAACAAAAACAGAAACACTTCGCCACAGACCTCTCCTCCCGCACGACCCGAGCGCACTGCCTCGGCCCCCACCCGCGACCGCCGCGCAGACCACGGCGCAGCGCCCCTTTCTCTTTGTTGTCATCTTGCCATCTTGCTAAATGCAAAAATAAATAAACTTGTGGCTCTCTACTCACCCACGGCCATAGCGCCCTCTCCCCCCATTCTGCTTCATGCAGAGAAAATGTTGCACAAGGAAACCAGTGCACATGAAAACAGATCTCGGCTCTCCCGTCTGCGCGCTGCCGCCCGTGGGTTTTGTTGTTTTGTTTGTTTTTTTTCCGGGACACGCTGTTCCGTGCGGGATCTTTTATTCCTGGGTTTCGGAAAGCCCGTGTTTTGCTCGCAGACTCTCTCTCTCTCGCCTCCGGCTTCAGCGCTACGTGGCCGGCCTGGTTCCGCGCGCCGTCCCGCGCTCGTCCCCGTGCCCGACTGCCCGGGCCGCCGTCTGGGGCGCGTGCACGCGCACCGCCGCCGGCGGCGCTGTTCTCTCTCCTCTTCCTCCGCGAGCTGAAGGAGAGCGCGCGCGTACGTGCTCGCGCCCGCCGGACCCCCCCTTTAATAACCCTCTTGATCTGAAAGCGAAAGGAACCGACTTCGCTCAAGTCAGGCTGTACTGGCAGAAATGTCTTCAAACTGTCTTATTTTATATATAAGTTCTTTAGACATTTTGATCTGCTGCCAAAACTATCAGTTATTTGTTCCTTTATTACTTTAAGTACCTTGGAAAGAGTGGACCTTTTTAGTCAAAGGGAATTATTAATATATAATAGTAATATTCTCTTTGCATACATAGACTCTGTAGTCTCATTTTTTAACGTTAAATTCAAGTTGAAACAACACGCAGTTGCATACATACTGTGCGAAACAAGAAAACGCATGAGCAGTTTTGTAGACATCATTTATCTTGTAATGCAGCGCATAACAAGAATAATATGTTTCAGTTTCAAGCGATACTCTGTGGTCTATCTACCTAGATACATGTACATTAACATGACTCAGAATATTCTTAGTTTCCCCATGGGAATTTCTTAAATAACAAAAGTGTTACAATCGCGTGATAATCTGTGATTTCTTTCGGCGTGACAATTTAAGAGGAAACTCATATTACACAGAGGCTTCAATATAACTATTGTCGTTTGATTTGTTTCATACTTAGAATATTATTTACCCTTTATAATTAGCTTTACATGTCCCATACATTATCATGAATAGTAATGATTTATCATCTTAAATCGTGCATTGTTAAAATATTCCCGTGAAAAGGTATTTTCCGGGCTTCAGCGAGCGGTGCGCTCTCTTGATCTGTTAACTCTATACAGTTAAAATATAACGAAAGGCGTCGCAGGACTTGTAATCCTGCTGCAGAAACAACTAGTTGATGTAAGCTTGGTATTAAAATCCCACTCAAAAACAAGACCAAGCACATTAGCGTTTTAAAAACGACACACTATTCAGCTGTGCCAACACTGCCCATGCCTGGGGAATTCCGGCAGCGATGTGCAGAATGTCCACTCCGCACTGCCGCCGCCTGGCGTGGACCGCACTGACCGGCGCTGTCACGGGTGGTCTCGCCTTCAAGCGCCGCGCCCGCGCAGCTCCTGCCTCCAGCCCCCGGCCGTCGCTCGTGCACGAAGCCCCCCCCCCCAGTCAGCAACGCGTCCCGACACCCGACCCCCCGAAACAAACTCCAAATCGCACAACTTATCAGCCTTTCTGAGACAGCACATTCCTGCTCGTCCCCTCTCTCCTCCCCTTTTCCTGGAGGATTCAGAGAGGGGCGGTGCTCATCCCACCGCATTCCCGGCTCTCCCTCTCCTGGAGACGGAGCCCAGGAGCTCAGGAATCCCGAGTTGGAGTAAAACATCCAGACTCACCGCCCCGCCGGTCGCAGGATCTGACATCTAGCGACAGACGCGCTGATGAAACCCGCGGCAGGCGCGTTCCCCGCAGTCTAACTCAAAATGCAAACACAGGTGTTGCGGGTTCTTGCTCGGGGACGCTCTCCGGCGGCGCTCGGCCTCTCCGCAGGTCACCTGTGTGAGGGGCAGGGGCGCACGGCTCTCTCCGTGTCTCAGGGCTGCGGCGACCTTCTCCCTCCCGCCTCCTCTGCGCCTTTTCCACTCAGATGTGGGCTGGGTACCGCAGCTCCCGGCGCGACTGCGACTCGGCTTTGTCACGAAGAGAAATGTGTAGTTTCACTCAGACATCCCGGGGTAAAGGTCGTGACCGCAGTTGCAGGGAGTTGACATGATGTCTGATTTTCGCACACCTCTTTAAGGGCAGGAGATCTGACTGATGACAAAAATTAATAAATTATTAGTAGAAACTAATAGTCGCTAATACTTAAATGTTAGACTATAATGTGCGAAATATTATTGTGTCTGAAGCGTGTGAACTTCGACAGCGGCAGGGAAAGCCTGTGTGACAGTGAAGGAGCCGGAGCCGGTCGGACCCCTCAGTGTGTGTTGATGCGCTGGGCAGGGCTGCATATTTACAGTTTACAGCTTCACTGGCGAGGAACATTCCCTGTTGTTGTTGAGGAGAAGCCGAAGAGCTCAGTTTTATACTAATTCCTCTCCCAAGCTCCTGGCTCCCGAATGTCCTCAAACTCTCTTGCACCCAGCCCCTGTCGAGGAATTATTTTTGTAATCATTATTAATTTGTCAATCGATCAACAATTTGGAAATAGTGTGAAAATGTCCAATATTTAAGGATAATTTGCATACTAATTTGGTGTGTTGTCAATTAGCAACATGAATTCATTAGTAGTTCAGGTGGGTAGCTGCGTCAGCATGTGTAGGCTGCAAAGGAACAAGTAATAGGTTTATTCCATGCTGAAAAAAAGAAGAAAGAGAACACAACGTTTTCCACCTGAAGAAGGCTCCATGGCCGAAACGTTGTGTTCTCTTTCTTCTTTTTTTCAGCATGGAATAAACCTATTATTTATTAATTCATTAGTTCTAACCATAAAATCCACTCCACATAATCAGACGTTTGCATCTCCCAGATTTAGCCGGGGTTGAGCGAGAGCTCTCTGCTGCCCCCTTCTGACCAGCGTGATCCAGAGTCCCAGTGCAGCCCCAGCATCCCAGCGCTTTATCCATGTGACTCCCTGCAGACACCCCTTGACACCAGGGTCTGTCTCCCTGACGTGCCCGGCTCCCTCGAACCCTACTGGATGCCCGCTTGGCCTCTGTAGGCGTCTCTTGTCCACTGAGCCAGTGCTCCTCACAGCCCTGCAGTCAAATGCTTTTCCACTTGGTCCAATGTGTGGTTTCTTCCCATTTCCCTCCTCTTAAAAAGCCCCCCGTCACTGAACACCAGCCCAAACCTGGAAGCAGGGAGAAGGGCAGTCCGGGTGTCTTGCCCAGCGGGAATGCGCGTGCAGGCCGGCAGTGCTGTGCGCTGGCACAGGTGCACACCAGCACGCCGACCGAGAGCCAGGGACGCACTGGATCTGAGGCTTGTCTTACTGCAGCAGGCTAGCCGGAGAAAGACAGGAGGCTCTTCGCTTTTCCAAGCTTCTAGTTCAGATTGAAGTCTGAGCCAGGGGAAGAGAACAGCATTGCTCTCTCTATGACAAAACTGGAACCAGTGCAACATTTCAACCTGGTGTCCATCTAAGGGAGGGAAGGATTGTCATAATTAATTTGCAGGAAAGTTTATCTTTTGTTTCAAAATGGTCTTATCTCCCATTTGTTCTTGGAAACAATAGCAAACAGTTCAAATCTATCCACCAGCAGACCAGGAATTGCACAGAGGCTTGGAGATCTGTGTGGAGAAAAAGCAGCAGATTCCTTTTCCAGGAAAAAGGAGCGCCATAGTTGGAGGTCTCTGAAGATTCCTGGTCAAGGCCTGGTTTGGGGGGGTTGTACTGGGGAGGCAGGAGGAGACCGGCTGGGAAGGACGGCAGGGTGGCACGACACTGGGGCCGCGCAGGTGCTCAAGAGCCCCCGAAGCTCCGCGCCCAGCGCTGGCCCGGGGATGCGAGACCTGGAGTGTGGTTTTAACGTCCACTCAGTGCTTAAAGATGCAGTGCTGTGCTGGAGTCAAGACAGGCCAACAGACCTCCATTATTCTTCTGTCTCCTTCTGCACACTGAGCTGAGGGTCATGTGCTGCCCAGAGGCACTGCCGCACATCACATTTCTACAGAGCTGATGTCACTGCACAGCCCAGCCGCCGTCACATGTGCTGCATGAGTGAGGACGCTCCGGTCTCGGGCAAAGTACAGCGGCTGATATCAGATTGCACAGTGGAGAAGGCCGAAAAAAAGGGAAATGGCCTTTGATCATATCCCTCACCGCTGAGTCATTTCGTCATCACACCAAGACTGCATGGGTTAAGCTTAAAAAAAAACCTGAATATGTGAAATTAATAATCTAGTCAAATGACCTTTCTAAAATCCTGCAACTAGTTTCAGCATGTTTTGTACTGTACAACTTCAACAAAATCAGCCCAGTCCCTTCAGCTGAAGAAAAACAAATTCCAGGCTTTTGGAAGTTCTTTCTTTCCTATGAAGCCAAGCAATATGGGCCTGTGAGGAACACGAGTAGAAGGTGTTTTATGGACAAATGAAAATGAAACCCCGACTGTCCAGGGTGGATCTCAGAGTGTGGTGAATCGATGGTGCACATTTTCTGCCTGCTGGTTTAGGTGCGCTCAGACCCTGTTCCTCTGGAATCTCATTTTAAACCCATTAAGAGTCCAGAATTTGCATTCTCCTTGCGCTAACCAGTCCCCACTTCTTAATAATGCTGTAGGAGCTCAGGCAACTTTAGCAGATAAAGCAATTTCTCTTTTAAATGAGATGATTCAACAGACATTCGGATCCAAAGGTGCTTGATTTCACTGTCAGCCCCCTGGCTACAACCAGCCAGCAGCTCCTGAGACTGAAAAGCATTCAGCTTCTCAGAACGCTCACAGCAGAGGTGTGTGCAGTGGGCAGTGTGCTCCAGAGCATTCTGCTGTTGAATTCTGCCCAAAATGTGCTCTACACACCTTAGACCCTACACAAAAACACACACCACTCCAAGGAGTGGCTACCTATTGATCTTTAGTACCACAACATGTTTGTTATAGTTTCATTATGACTGTGTCACCTAACGTGGGTTTAGTTACACCCTATATAATATTCTGTCCGAGTCCTGTTTTCAAATTGATCTCTAAACTCCTGGGGTTGTTCACAACATCACCTGTTGTTTTCTGTTCTACAGAAGCACTGAGGCAGCACTGCTGGTGATGATCACTCCCAACTAACCAAGCAGCCATTTCACCTCAGCAGTGACAGCAAATAATAAAAACACCCCTTTTACAGGATAGAAGTTGGTTTTGGTGTGAACATGGTAACCACAGAATTTTTATAACAACTATTTTTTAAACCTTTAAAAACAGAGACATTCAACAAGTACAGAAAAGCACAGCAGTGTTAAAGGTCAGCTCATAGGAAAAAAACTGAAGGGAAAAAGAGCTGATTAAACAGCTTGTAAATGGAAAGACACTTCACAATGGACTCACACAATGAGCTCAGGCCCCGATACGTTCCTTGAGCACAGTTTCCATCAGAGTTTATTTTAATGAAGTGGAAATACAGTGTTGGTTGAGCTGCACGAAAAGTGAGCATACCCCTGAGATGGTAGCTGGGGATGAAAGAATGACCCATTTTCATGTTTATCAGGCTTACTGACCTCAGCTCAAAGAAGTCAGCAGAAAGAAATTTGTGGAAATGTACAATCATATACAACGATGAATGGTCTTAAAATAAGACTGAGCAACGGAAGAAACAGCCGTTTTCACACAACTACACGCTTACACATCAGAGCTTTTTTTTGCCAATACAGACCAGTAACCAGAACTGAGCTCCTAATGAACGCCTTCCTAAATATCGCTACAAGGTTTGTACTTAATTGAATTCAACACTGCGGATTATAACTAGCTGAAATAGTATGGATAGAGACGTCGGTGAGTTTCGGAGCTCTATGCAATACTGTAAAGCTACAGAGCTATCCGTTTACAGACAGGTCGTCTCTAGAACTGCAGGAGCCCGGAGAGGACAAAAGTAATTTTGACTGAGTTTGACTGGAGACGTTTGACTCAGAACTGTCTCTCGGTGTGTGCTGCACGACAGCTTGACCTGGACATCCGTTAAGGACCGGCGCTAAGACTTCCTTCTGGGCGCTAGACTGACTGAAGAAGACGTCTGTATACCGTCTGATGCAGACGCTGTGAACGTGGGCTGCTCTTCAGCATCACGGTAAGACATCTGATGCAAATGAGCAGAAAGCCGCAAACTAAATATATCCGCGGTGCTGTTCAGTCACTCTCACACACGCTCGGCTAGGTGCTCTCGCAAACCCAGGCACATCCTTCCTGTTTCTCGCCCGGCGCCCGGCTCTTCGGAGTAGCTTCATCTGCGCGCCCCCCGCCCTGCAGCGCCCACATCACAGCGCGGCCTCGCCTCCCGTCAGCTTCCCTGGAGGCGCCGGGAGCTGCAGAGGCGAACCTCTCCAACTCAGCGTCCCCGGAAATCTGTGTCCCCCTCAGAAACGCGAACCCGCCGTTACAACCTTTCCCCCTTCCTTCTCCGGGACTCACGAGATTTCTCTTCTCCCACATGTAAAATGATTTAAATGTCACGCCTAAGCCCATAAGAGGCGCACAGCGCACAGCCTCTGAGTTCCTTGTCTTGTGTAAAGATAACTTCAGCTTTCATTCGCCAGTTAGCAGTACATGGTTTCACATTACCGTAATCCCTACCAAACACATTAAATACACAGAGAAACCGATATAAACTCGCGCACGGAGGGCTTTTTATCCATTCTGCAACAAGCCAAGACAAACGTACGCAGTCCCTGCCTGTATTCTTAACTATCCTGGAAGGTTTTGCGTGCGTGCGTCGGGGGCAGATTTCCACAGGATACTGACTTGGAATCGATCTTTCCCAGAGTCACGGGCGGCGCTGAATAGCGTCAGACTCCATTGAGTCACATTTAAGGAAACGCGCTGTCAAGTCATTTTTTTTCAAATGAGGCATCTGAAGGCCTTCATGTGCCTGAGTGGGCGCGTAGATATGCATAGCTAATTATATACAATCCACACAGCTGTGGTTGGAAGTATTCACTGAAAAACACATGGTCACTGAACAGAAAAAGCGATCATTGATGTTAGTAGACAGATATAGCTCTTAAAAATACAGAGCTTTTAGGAATAACAGTCATATTAATAAAGCTTTTAATTTTTAGCTCTTTTTTTGGAGTGCTTGTGAGTGAGTTTGGCAGCTCTTGACATCCTGGAGGAGGAACGTTGTCAAGGACTCTGTTTCATTTCTCATCCTCAGCCCAGCAGGGGAGTAGCTGCTTTCTCTAGGCTTGTCCACAGCACCTGAGGGGGACCCGGGGTAATGGCAGCTCATGTCAGGATCACAGAAACGGTATGAAACGCGCACACCCACGAACACCTGGACAGGGCTGCTCACTGCTTCCCGCACTGATCCCTGCAAGAGCCCATGTAGATACCCTAGTAAAATACCTCCCTGAGGAACAGGCTGCGCTTTTATTGTGCAAAAACATACTGTACACAGTCTGGAAATCTGTAAAGAGAGACATATTGCAAGCCAGCGCTGTGCTAGACTTGAGAAGAGTCTGGGATCTCGAGACACTAGCTCCACACCCTTGTGCAGGTCGCCCAGTGCCTGCAGACGAGGTCCTGCCCAGGGTGAGTGGAGTTCTGAGCAGACAGAACTTCGCTCTTCTGAAACAACACCTTCGCCTTCATTCCAGCCTCGTAATAGAAGAGTGGAGAGGTATAATATGATTGAAGGGCAGATTTCAAGACTATAACTGTGTTTAGTGCATTAACTGGTCGTCTCTCTGAGGCAGTGACTGAAGTGTCTGTGATAAGAAAAGTGCCCACTAACGGCCCAGAGGACTTCTAGTGTGTAAAGAAAAAAACATCAACAGGATGCTGTAAGTGATTTCCTGTGTGTGGCGCAGAGAGAGCCTGTAACAGGTGTGTCTCAGGTCAGGTGGTTAACTTGCCTTCTCAGAGACTAACTGTCATACAGACACAAGCACAACCGCCATGAGCCAGAGACAGTGACAGAGACAGGTAACGTCACAAGAGTCTTACCACACAGGTCTGTATGCAGACATTCACATACTCAATTCTACACAAACTCTACATGGGATTTGAGCACTTATTAAATCTAGAGTTCAAATTTAAGACCATAAGAAAGATTACAAACAAGTGGATCTAATCTAATTGTTTGGTTACTAGTTAATAAAATGATTAAGGTCTTGTCTGGTCATTTTTTAAAGGATCCCAGGGAATCTGCTTTAATAAAATGAGCAGGCAACTCCCACAACACTTTGTGTAAATTCCTCCTGAGAGGAATCGCTCCGAGACTTGCACTCCCCTGCAGTTTGCACCTGTGTCCTGTGATTCATCTTTCACCTCTTCCGTTGCAAATCATTCTTTGCACTCATAAGCCAACAGGTTATAATTGTGTTCTGTTATGTAATATCTATACACATCTGCAATTTTTTGCTACTTTCCAGCCCTTCTAAGTTAATCATGAAGGCTATGCTGTTGTAAACTCTAATTTTATTCAGATCCCTTAACTGTGCAAAAGTTAACTGGTCAAAAATAGAGGCTCCTATGAAGCTGTATTATGAATAAAAATAGTACTGAGAATCAGCCTGAACCTTCCAGGCTTGGGTAGATGAGATATCAGTTCCTGACCAGCAGTGTGCCGCTGGATGGAATCTGAGAGAGGGGACTGCTCCTGCGGGCTGGAGACCTGCACCCCAGGGGGCCAGCGGTGACCCGGGCCGCTGATTGTGAGGCACAGAGGGGGTGCAGGAAACCCCCAAGTGAGCAGACAGGAGATCTGGCAGCGGGGCAGGGGTGGAGTCAGACTGAAAGGGGAAAGGGCGGGGGGCGTGAGCTGCTGCAGTGGGGCTGCCGAGTCTCACTATGAATTCATGTCACCCCAGAGTCCGGGGGTCACACGCGAAACAGGACCCCACCCGGGGCTGGGACCTGCAAGACAGCGGTGGCTGGGTGGGGACGGCTCCCCGCCCTGCGAGTGCACTGAGCAGCAGCGTGAAAGCACACTTTCAGAAGTGTGAACGTTAGAACACAGGTTACACACAGGTCCTGCTACAACTGACACTCCAGCAGCGCATGATCCCAGCCAGGTGTCACAGAGCTGTACTACACTACACAGGCAGGACAGTAAAAATGTGAGTAAAAAAGTCACATAGTAATCTAGTAATAGTCTCTATTAATGGAGAGCCGGGATACAAGCACGATAGATTAAACATCAGTAATCAAATTCACTGCGTCGCGGCGTGAGACGAGAAAGCTTGTCTCCCAAGTGAGTCTCCCAGTCCAGGCTGCAGGACACAGTGCATCAGCTGAGCGCTGAGGTCAGGCTCCAGAGATCGGCTCGGCTGAGTACAAGCTGAAGACCGGGGCTCTCGCACACCGCATGGAACCCCAATATCCTTCTCCCGCTTTCAGTACAATTACGCTATATCTCAGGGAACAGAGAATGCCCCAGTCTGCCACGACTCGGCGATCTCTCAACAAACTGGGGGACCCAACACTTGCAGACTACCTCTCCAAAGTATTAGTGAATGCCACGTTCTGTACAGGAACTCAAACTCTCCAAAGCAGTGAAAATATCTGTGTATTATGTACCATGAGTCCCAAGAGCTGTAAAGTAGAAGCAGACCTGGCATTTCTTGCCGTATTCTATGCTACAGAAAAGATAAAATGGATATCTCAAAGAAGCCTTAAGACATCTGGACTGTGGGTAACATTGTTTTGCATACAAAAAATACCAAAAGGAAGAGCAGTTGCTGCTTCAAGATGCTACTGAGCTGCTACCCACAACCCAAGCCAACCCTATTCTTGTAACCCTATTCTTAATTAGATAAAATCACAAGCAGCTTAAAACCTTGAAAAACACTGCTTCATTCTGGTCCAGCTCAGTAAATGCGTCAAACTGGTGAACTGATGGTGTGAGTGAACAAACCATATGTTCTTGTGACATTTTATTTGTTCTGGTGAGTTAATTTCTAGTCAGATAAAGGGCCTCTTTACTGCTATCAAAGGGTCAGCTGATTTAGACATTAGAAGTAAGACACATACTCTTATTCAACGGTTCAATATAAAAATGTGGCCTTTTTCTGGAAAAACTTCAAAAGCCAAAAAGACATCAGCTTCATTTCTTTTGAGGAAAGAGTAGTGAAGCTCTTTTGTTTGTACAGTGCACAACGTGAACGGATTTCTGTCCAGTATGGTGTGGCCCCCAGGGGAACTGCTATCTAAACAAACACAGAGAGATGTGACCTTCATCCTTCTGAGAGTTAATCCTACAGCAAGGCCATTTCTCCAGGCCCATAGACCACTGGCTCAATGGTGGCTGGTTTCTGTTTAACTAGATTAATCTCCGGTTTCACCTTGACTCATGTGGGTAGCAGGAAAGAGGATCTCAGAATCAGAGCTCCATCTTTAATCAGGCTTAGAGATGTTCAACTGTCTGCAGAAAAAATCAGTTATAATTATAATACAGAATCTAACCACTTAGTAAATTGGGAAGGAATTCATGGAAACAAAGATGTGATTTTTTAAAACCATTTTGGAATTTTTAAGCCTTCTAGTTTGGTAATTTTATGAGATTTATGTGCAATTATACCATCCTATTGAAAGTAAAATACATCTCCTGCCCATTACTTTATAAATATACTTACCTATGTAAAATTGTCATGAAAGTTTCAATTTCATTCCCATGGCAGGCATGGTCACTAGAAGAAAGAGGGATGGGGGGCTCTGGAGAACAGCATGGGGGCACAGCGCTGGGGCCCCGGTTTCAGCTCCTGGGGTGCTGTTTGTGTGGAGTTTGCATGTTCATGTGCCCTGTGCTGGACTGGTGTCTCCTCAGGGTGTATCCTGCTCCCATGACCCTAAACTGGATGAAGCCATTACAAAATGGGTGGATGGGAAAAGTGGATGTTAATTCCAAGAAAAAAAGAGTGTTTTGATCAAAGATCATAATACAGAAAGTGCTAATAAACTTACAGATGTAATGTTTCACCATTTCTGTCTGCTTTGCCCACATTTAAGGACTTAAAATGAAGAAAGCACAATTACCTAGAAATACGTTAGTATTTGTAATTTTTCTCTCTGTAAGGAGGGTGTAATCTTGTTTGAAATAGCTTGTTCCATTAAATATTCTGTTTGCAGTTTGCATCTGGTTAAACTTTGTGAATAACACAAACGCAGGAATAGCACTGGAACAGAAAGGAGTGTTAACTGTATGTCTCCATTGAAAAGCGAACAACAAAGCTATTAGCCGCTACACAACAATACACTCATTGGGGCAACAAAACCAGCCCTTCAGCTCAAGTTTTTCTTTATGACGCGATGATTTTCAAATTTCAAATAATTATTTGTGCAACCTTACTGTCCCATTTATAGTGCAGCATACATTAAGCTCCTGTGATGGAGACTGTATAGCAAACATTTATTCTGTCGGTACCAATTAACCACCTAAGGTTGATTACCATCACACTGGCATGCAGTACTGCCATCACAGGGGAGAAAGAATTACCTCTGTGCAATGTCTTAATTCTTAGTTGAAAGGCTGCTTTTAATCAGTAACCTTTTTGGACATTAAAAATACTGATAAATGAGACTTATGCAACAGAGAAATTGAAACAGAAACGGTAGTCAAAGTTTGCTTCACCACAACATTCAATACAGACATTATTTTGCCCGAAGAGCAGTCTCCCCCTGGTGGCACTTCCATAGATCAATTAAAGAAGGTGTCTGTGGCTTAGGGCCAGTATACTGGCTGGTCTGCATCACGTATTGATGGATTTCACTTTAAAATTTTACTGAAAAGAGAAGTTTCACGTAAATCATGTGTGAACCGAAACATGTTTACACACCAAGGCATACCAACAGAAGAAATGAAGTTCACATTGTATTAGAAATAGTTTTATTTGGCTAACAGAGACCTGGTGGAACAACTGAAGACTTGTCTGTCTACAATCCTCGGGTGTTTCTTTACTGAAAGATGAAACTCGTAACAGGCTGTTTTCCCTTCTACAACAACTCACACAGAGCTGCTTGTGACGAACAAGATGATGCTTGACTGGGATCAACGCATTTCGCGATCATGAGGCCTTACCACAGGTGCACATATTCATATTCAGGAAGTTCAGGTAAATAATTCATCAGCCAGCAATGGGCAGGACCACCCAGAGCATCGAAACTGCAGCTTGATACCAGAGAAGGGTGTGCAGAGCCCACTGATGACACTCAAGAAAGGACAAGCTGAACAACACAATAGTAGGAAAGGGGGCTAGTCCGAGGTAAAACTTCATTCAATATGGACGCTACCTGACAGAGGTGTCGACCATTCTGCAGACCCCTCCAAAATATACCCTTAGCTACTCGATAGATAAAAACAGGAGTGAACGTAAGTGTCTGTATAAGCATAATCACAAAGACTGTCGGCACTGAAGTACTGCACTGGAGGAACGAGACGGATGAGATCGTGGTCACCTCGGACCGAGATACCAAAATGAAACATTTCACTGGACCACAGAAAGTTGCTAGGCATGAGGAAACGCCAGCGGACAATCTGAACCAGGGTGCAAACAAGATGACACAGTCTCACCTTCAACAAAATTTAATCCCAGTCAAGACCAGAGGCTGCTGCCCAAAGCTGACAAGTGACTGACTTCAGGAACGACAGCCTGCACAGGGAAATGTGATTGAAATGAATTTCTCTACAGGGGTGGGCTCAAATAATAACGTCACCGGTCCCTGGAGGGTCTCTGGGCTCTTTCAGCTCTTGTCGTCACACGCACGTACACACACAGAGGGATCGGCCCTGGGCACCAGGCTACAGTCCTGCCCCGGTCAGGGGTCACTGGGGCAGCTGCAGCAGGGTGCCCTGTCCGGAGGGCAGGTAGGTGATGTTTCGGGAGCGGGACAGCTGGAAGGCGATGTCCTCGGCGGCCTCCAGCTTGCGGAGCTCGACCAGCCCGTCGCCGGCAATGGACAGGGAGTTGGCGATCAGCAGGGCAGCCTGGGAGTCGCCCTCGGCGGAGATGATGGCCGCCTGCTTCTGCTGCTCCGCCTAGAGGGAAAGCAGACAGGACAGCAGGCCGGTCAGAAGCTGCGCAGAAGAACCACTTCAATTCAATACTGAAGACAATGAGACGTGAACAAGTCCAAGAGGGGGGGTGAACATTTCACCCACTTTACCATCCTATTTCTATCTATACCAATACTTAGAATGAGTTGCAGAAAGTGGAGCAGAACCATAACTGTGCCATTACAAAATCACAACTGAATTTTTATGTGTCACAGGAATTCTTGTTCTATTTGTGCTCGAGTGGTTGTTACCATCTGCAGACAAACAAGAATTTTATCATTTCCAACTTAACCAGAGGGGGGCAGGCGTCGGGGGGGGGTTGTGCTGTACAGGCTCTGTGAGACTGCCAGGTGTGCCCATGGTGGTGAGCACCCTCTGGGGAACACGAGTTGCACTGCAGCTCTCTGCTGTGTACTGCAGCTGTCCAAGGTAATGGGCTCTGGTAGTACAGGCATGCACAAGACCAGATCACTTCATGGAGCACATGTTCCAGAAGCAGGTCTTACAGCCTGCACAAAGGCACCCCACCTTTTCCACGACGAAGCGAGCCCGTTCTGCCTCCTGCTGAGCCACCTGCTTCATCTCTACAGCCTCTGTGAACTCCTTACCAAAGGTCAGGTGCGTCTGTGGGGAGAGTCAGAGAGACATCACATCACCACACTGCTGCTCTCTCACAGCTTGAGCTTAGACTTCTACTGAAGAAACAAACAACGTTCTGTACGGATTGTGGGTCATTAAAGGATACCTCACAACTACAAGCTTGGTTGCTGGAGCCTTAGTCTGCATTACTCAGAATATGGCCATCTCAGGTTCTTAAAGTAGATGCAATTACAGAATGAAAAGGTATTGATGTCCAGGAGATATTTCCTCTATACAGGAGGAAATGTCTTCCAAGAATACAAGCTTTAAACTGCGGAACGTGCGCAGCTGGTATAACTTAATTAGCTATGAGAAGTTTTTTTTGCAGACTGAAAGTGACATTAGACATTTCACAACAGATGAAACAAAGATGTTGGGTTACTGACCTATCCCTGCAGTCACTCAGATTTTTTTTGTACTGGCTAACTGTTCTGCAGTTACACTAGGTTGACTGGTCCTGGACAGACTGTCCGCTGGGCTGACACACCGCTGACGCCGACAGTGCTGTGTGCTGGACAGACTGTCCACTGGGCTGACACACCGCTGACGC